TTACGCTGAGATTCAACAATATGGACAGCTGTGTGGAAATATGATTGGAAAAAAAGGACATAATCTAATGCTATAATGATAAGCTGAGGGGAGAAACCCCCTCAAGGGCTTTCTAGATGCGTCTTGGCCTCTCTGAGCAGCATCCTTCCTTCTGGGTGCCGGGCATGGCCCTCTCTGGAATGGGGGTCTTATGATCTACAGCCAAACAAGGTAGGTCAGATATTTACCTTGTCGCCCAGTTTTTACATAGAATAATTTTAGGTTTTATGACTAGCCTTGGGGGGAAGGGGTTCTGGCTTTTAAGACCTGCCTTGGGGAAGAGGAATTCTGGTTTCTATGGGCAGCCTCAGGGAAGACTGGGACCGGGAGGCAGGAAGACAGGAGAAGGTCAGAGAAAAACTTCTGCTTCTGAGGCTATTCCTGAAGCCCTCATCATGGGGAACTGTTTTCTGAGCCCGACACCATCCCTAAAGAAAGGCAGAAAATCCTGAAACAAAAATAGTAAATAACGTGATTATTATTTATTTACAAATATTTTTTAAGATCATACTATGTTCCACCTACTATTACAGGTGCCGAAGATGCAGGAATGAACAAAAATAAATAATAAAATATGGTATTTGTGTACCATGGAATATTACTCAATTACAAAAAACAGTGGCGATCTAGCACCTCTTATATTATCCTAGATAGAGCTTGAGCCCATCCTCCGAGTGAGATATCACGAGAATGGAAAAATAAGCACCACGCGTACTCGCCATCAAATTGGCAGTAACTGATCAACACTAAGGTGCTCACCTGATAGTAATATTCATTGGCTGTAGGGAGGGTGGGGGTCGGTAAGCTCACAACTAATGGATACAATGAGCGTTGTAGGGGGGGAGGGTATGCCTCTATCCCTGGCTTGGGTGAGGCAAAGTCAAAACTTGTAACCAAAATGTTAGTACCGCCATAATATCCTGAAATAATAATAATAATAAAAAAATCCACGAAAATAAATAAATAAAATCCCTGTCTACAGAGAGGATTTACATTGGAGAGCAGCATTTGGTAGAAATGAAATAAGAAGAGGTAGCAATCTTAGAAATGAAAAAGGTAGTCATTGGAATAAAATTTCCAATAGAAAGCACAGACTCTAGGCTTGACACAGAAACAGAGTTGCTCATTTTGGAAGATACTACTAAGGAAATCATCTAAAATGCAGTGATGAGAAGTAAGATACTAAAAGAAAGTGTGAGGGGGAGAAAACATGAGAATGTGCGAACATATGTTTAATGGAAGTTCCAGAAGACAAAGAAAATAGAAACGATGGTAGAAAGACAATAGTTGGAGTGAGAACAGCAAAGATTTTTTTTTTTTTTGAGGCAGGGCCTTGTTGTATTGCTTAGGCTGGAGTGCAGTGGTATCACCATAGCTCACAGCAACCTCAAATTCCTGGGCTCAAGTGATCTTCCTGCCTCAGCCTCTTGAGTAGCTGGGACTACAGGTGCTCATCTCCATGCTTTGCTAATTTTTCTATTTTCTGTAGAGACAGGGTCTCACTATGTTGCTCAGGCTGGTCTCGAACTCCTAGCCTCAAGTGATCCTCCAGTCTCGGCCTCCCAAAGTACAAGGATTATAGACATGAGCCACCACCCCGGGCCACTAAGATTACTTTAGAATTGAAGACAAGACTCCTCAAATTGCAAGTACACTCTGAGGACTATCTGGTGAATGAGCTCAGGAAATTTCACTAGCTGGATAAATAACAAGAAATCTACCCCTAAACACTTTGAGATAAAACTTCAAAACATCAAGGATAAAAAGCAAAGCTTAACCTTTCTATGAAAAAATGTAGGCTAGACCTAAAACAATGACCATTAGATTGAAAGCAGATGCCAAGGGCAGTACTGAGGAGGAAAAATTTACTGTCAACCTAGATTGTAGAATTTTATGCCAGAGTATACCAGTGTCAAATGCTGACCAAAAACATTAATTGAATAATCAACTTCAAAAGGTCAATATTCTTGAGGAAGTAAATCTAGAAAAGTGTGGGATTAAAAGAAAAAAAAAGAAAAAAGAAAAGAGGAGCAGAAACTTTTTTAAGTCATTAAATTTAACTATTTCACTTTTGCTGTGAAAAGTAATAATAGACTTCTATGCAAAAAGACAATAAAACTACATGAAAGTCAGAAATGTGAGCAGGCAAATAAAAGAAGAATAAGAAACACAAATGGCCAACAAATATATGCAAATTGAAAATAAAAACTCCAAAGGGTGAAAGTCTAATGGCATCAATGTAAACAAGGATGTGGAAGGAAGACCATACATGTTCTCAGTACCTCCACCTGGGCCTGCGTGCGGGTGACCTGTGCAGCCCGGAGGTGGTAAGTGCCACCTTCAGGGTGGTCTTTCTTCTGAGGAAGGAGAGACTGGGACATGAATAGGAGTGGAGAAGGGTGAACAACTAGGGGCTTGTAGCTGTGATGTTTCATTCCTTTAAAAGGCGAAGCAAAAGGGAAAAATGCTGAGATTTGTTAAAGTGTTGTGGTGCATACATGGGTTTTCGTGGTATTATCCGAATGAAGACAATTGAAACAAAAAGTCGCACAGAGCTTTCAGAAGAACAGGAATTTTTGGATATAGCAACAATATTTAAGAAACAGCCAGTTTTCTGGCAATGAGACAAGCTACATGGCCATTTCCCCTCTGTGGTGCCAAACCTTTCCAGAGCCTGTAAGGCCCTCAGAGTCTACCTTTCCCGCCGAAATTGCTCTTGCACTCTGCCCTAGCTCCAGCCCCCTGGCTTGCCTTTTTTGCCTCACACAATTCAAGTTCGTTTCCTCTTCTGGTAACAGTGTTCTTCTTGGATTATCCCCTTTAGATACAGGAGAAAATATAGAAAATTTTTAAATGATAACCTCAAATACCTTTGATTTTAGAAACGGAAATGATCTTTCAATCTCTGGTTTTGCTCTTGGTCTAGTGCTTTCAGTAGAAACTAATTCACCCAGCAAAACAGAACTGTATTTTGGGGGCACTTGACGGACATTCCGCTTTGCTGTGGCTTGTGTCAGCATAACTCAGTCACTGTGAGCTGGTGGCTGCCTGGGGCTGCTGTAGCCCCGGCACTCCCGGCAGCGTCATGTGTGGCCGAGGGAACTGCAGATGGTGCCCGGAAGTCCCATAGGAGTGCAGAGTGAGGTACAGTGAGTGGCAGCCAACCTTGGAGGCTGAGTTGTTTACAATTTTTTCTGTGTGGGGGGGATGGTTTAATCTGTATTTTAGACAAGAAGATACTAATTCTCAGTAAGGATGAGCATAATCATCAGTGTGGAAGTTACTCTTTAGACTTAAAGCTTTTTTATTTAAAAATGTAAAACTTGACTAATCCATGTTACTTTTTCTTAAAAAGACAAAAAAACAAACAATACTACTAGTAATGGTAATAACACTTGGTGTGTGTGCACATACGCACATTTAGTGGTACTCAAAAAACCAGCACACAAGGTATAAAGTTCACCGGCACTGATTTTGCCCAATACTACCTGTGAATTTGACAATAATCTGCCAATACTTTGAAATCCTCAAAGGTGCTCTGAAACACCAATGTAACAGGCTCTTATTTGAATATCTTACTCACTAATATTATGGGACTTATTTTGTTCTATCGATATTAAAACTTCACATCTGAGAAATAATTTCATCTTATCAAAAGTAAAAACTAAATGATTAATGTGAAGGTATTTTATACCATTGAACTATACACTTAAGAATGGGTAAAATGGTAACTTTTGTGTTGTACTGCATATGTTTTACCATAATTTAAAAAAATAGATACTAGGTCAGATAAAACCTAAATGTATCCTGTCTCTGTATGTCATTCCCTTCACATTTCTGTTTAGTGTTGAGCCGCAAGCAAAGCAAACACAGCAATAATTCTTTAGAATTGCATGTCCTCATTGCAGGTCATTAGGATTCCACATTGTATATTAAAATATCCATTACCATATTACATCGTGGTGACAAAAAGGAGCCATTGCACCCTAAAAGAGAGTTTAACTTCTGAGCATACCTTAGTGATGGAAAGAACTGGCTAAGTATTCTGTTTAATATTAGGTTTTTTGCTGAGTGGATTAATAAAATGTGGTATATGTATACCATGAGGTACTATTCAACTCTAAGAAACAACGGTGATATGGCACATCTTGTATTTTCCTGGATACAGCTGGGACCCATTCTAGTAAGTGAAGTATCCCAAGAATGGAAAAACAAGCACCACATGTACTCACCAGCAAATTGGTATTAACTGATCAACACCTAAGTGGACATATAGGAATAACATTTATCGGGTGTTGAGCAGGTGGAAGGGGGGAGGTGGGGACAAGCATATACATACATAATGAGTGTGATGTTCACCATCTGGGGGATGGTCACACTTGAAGTTCTGAGTCGAGGGGAGATGGGGGGCAAGGGCACTATACGTAACCTTAACATTTGTACCCCCATAATATGCTGAAATAAAAAAATATTAGGTTTTTTGAGTATTAGTTTCATAATATTAAATTTTTATAATAAATGCAAATAGGATAATGTTCTCCAAGTCACAAGAAAATATATCTCTTCAACTTTTTAATAACAATATTAACTATTGCAAATATTGATAAGCACTTACTATATACTACGTACTATTCTACACATCTTATCTGCATTCACTCATTTAATCATCTTGGCAGCCTCAGGAAGTAACAGTTAATGCTATCCTCAAATTATTAGCACAAATGAGAGAATTGAGCAATCTCTCTCAGGCTGCACAATGTGTAATGGAGCTAGCTGGTGATAGCTTTAATCATTTTTTTAATGGAAGATTATTGACTTTGGTGCAACCCCAGTCTTCTAGTGTTCAGTGCTTTTGTTTATTCACTTGTTTTTAAAAGAAAATCAGTGAAACTTGAATGTCTTTGTGCATTTTATGTTTTTTTCTAACAACAAATGATAATTTCTTCTTTGAATTCTTACAGGGCATTCTACTTGGACAAGTCCAATTCACCACCGAACTCCACATCCAAAGCTGCCTATGTAGATAAGGTAAAAAAAAAATGATTATGCTTATTGGTGCTTTATTATTTACATACCTCCCTTATTTGATTTTTCTGCTATCATTCTTGAGCAATGAGTAAAATTATAAATATTTGCAGTCTCCAATTCTGTTACTTCCATAACACAATAACAGTTTAGACCCTTCATTAAAAGGTACAACAACTGTGCCTTGTAACCCATCTAAAAATATTTTGCTAAGCATGTTGAACTTTATATTGCATCACTTTTTTCTGCAGCTAATGAGGCCTCTCAATGCCTTGGATGAACTTTACCGGCTGGTGGCGTCGTTTATCAGATCCAAACGCACGGCTGCGTGCGCCAACACAGCCTGCAGCGCCTCTGGAGTTGGGCTGCTGTCAGTGTCCTCGGAGCTGTGCAACAGGCTGGGAGCCTGTCATATCATCATGTGCAGCAGCGGCGTCCACCGGTATGTGCACGTCCCACCTCGCTCGCATCTTTGTTAGACCCCGTCTTGTTTGGTGATGCTTGTTTGCATTTTGGCCACACAAAATTAAAACTGGAAGCATTTGAAGGACTCATATGTATTTGGAATAAGACTCTGGGTCTAGTTCTCGTATTTCAGCGACTATATACTCACACAAATGAATGCAATCCTACATTTATATCACTGTGGCCCAGAATCTGGTCACCCTTGCATTTATATTAACATATTTGCATTTTCAGGCACAAAAAAATGTGCATCCATTTTATTCACTGTAGGAGTTTGCTTAGTAGGAGCCGGATCAACTACTAACTAGCCCAAGGCAACTGGTGTTTTCACTGCACTTGATAGACACTCCACTGTTCGGTAGTTCAGGTCGGTCCCTATAACCCAATTGTGAGCCATAGATTGATGCTGCTTTGGAGTTGCAACTGCTTTCCAACTCCCAGAAAAATTATGGTTCAGTGTGCCCTCCCTGAAAATGTAAGGAGAGATTTCTGATGGATCCTGTTCAGGTGGCTTGTCTTGGCAAGTGTGCACCGTCGGGGGCAGCTAAGTAGGGCGTATGAATTTATATAGCTTCATCAGTCTCATCAGTCTAAATGTGAGTGGGAATCCCCACGTCAAGTCCCTCTTCATAATCACATGCTCCTCTTCTGTCACCTCCCCATTGTCACGAGGAAGTGAAACCATGTGGATGAGACTAACAGGGCAGGACTTTAGTACTCATTTTAATCTGTCTTCTGTCACCAGACATAGTCTCTTCTTAGTACTAGCCCAGTTCAATTTTGAGGATGGTGTTTTACTTTTTTCAGATTTACTCAGTGCTTAATCCATGCGAAGAATTGCAGTTAGTGCTGCTGGCTGTGTAATATCATAAAATGTTTGTGTTGGAGACATAAAGCATGAAGAGAAAACAAAAATAAATTAATAAAAATAATAACAATAAGATAACATAATGATAAAAAGTAATACTCACAAGAAACCTAAAGTACAAGCAAATGTAAACCACCTAGGAAAGTTACAGCTAACAGAATAAGATTCAGAGGGCTAAACAGATCTTGGAGATGGTTAGATCTGGAAACTTTCCATGGTTAGAAAGTGATGTTTGAATTGGGTTTTGATGGATCAGGTGATAGAGGTAGAAAGGGAAGAAAGGCCATTCAAGGCAGCATCCTCTCTGCTCTGTGAAATTCCATTTCAACATGATGTGGCCAAGTTCTAGTTTTCAAGCCATGCACAGCATGATCTTACTTATGAAACATGGCAAGACTATTTCTCTAAAAGGACCATTAAATTTTTGTGGTTGATAAAATCTGCAGAATTTCCCCCTTTAATTGCTGTATACTTTGTACTCTGTCGTAAGCTTATTAAGAGCCTAATTGAAAATATCATTGACAACTGAATGAATCATATATTTAAATATTTTTCTGTTTGCTATCAGAGAAGTGATGTCTCCCTTCTGATAACCTCAACTTAATTCAGCCCGTTCTCATTCATTCATTCATTCATTCATTCAATAAGCACACATTTCGGCACTAATTATGCACCAGCAGTGTTCTAGTTGCTGGGGGTGCAACATTTAAAATACAAAGTACCTACATTCATATAGTGTGCATTGCATTGGGGAAATTGGATGATAAAGTAAACAAATATGTAATGTGACAGGTAGAATAGTCAGGGGAGGACGAGGTGACAGGATAGGAGAGAGCATTCCACTTTCTGATGGGGGGATTTCATTGGAGACCTGTGGGAAATGAAGGAGTGTGTCACGCAGGTATCTCAGAGTAAGGGCATTTGGACCGTGGGGCCAGCAGCACAACGTCCGCAGGTGGGAGCATGCCTAATGTGTTTAAGGAACAGCAGGGAGTCACTTGTGGCCCCAACACGGTTTCATTGCCTTGATTATTTGTGTTTTTATTTTACCCTAGGACAAAATAGTTATCAGAGGACTAGATACACTAGATCAACCCCGGGGCACTTCAGACTTTGAAACTATAGGCATATACTCAAGTCCACATTAATCTGCTGAAAGTTAATGCAGTTAAATCTACCATTTAGTCCTGGAGACCATGACTAAGTTGTCCAAATTATTTTCTCAGATGTTCCATGAGCAATTTTAGAATTTTACTAATGTTGTGTAAGAGAAACAGATCGATGTCCTGAAACTGTTTTGTAATTACTATATTCATTGATTGGTGTGTTAGAATCACAAGGACCATGGAAATTTCATAATACATTGGCTTTTTCCATGTCTATAATTCAAAATAAATATAGCTTTAGCTGATTCACTTCAGGAGACATTTACCAAGGTGTAGTCATTTACCAGTGTCCCATGACAGGGGCTGAATTTAAGGTTAAAACTATGAAAATTTTACAGTTCTATTTTTCTATTATGTAGAATAAAATGGGGAATTTAACATAATCTTTAATTTTTCAGTGAAGGCTATGCTTAGATTTTTCATGATGATAAAATGTGTGCTAATTTATATTGGAATCCAAAATCCCACAGAAGGCTGTTCCTAAAATAATCCTTCAGTAATTCTAATTCAGACAGCTAGAAAGAAACCCAAGCAGATCCACACCTTCGTGAAACATTAAACACAGAGGTTTACCCTCAGGTTCTGACAGAGGGAAGAAATTCACAGTGTGAATGAGAATAAATATTATACGAGCTATTTTTATCATTTACTTTTAAAAATCAAGATAAAAATAGTCAACAATAAGGTATCCACATTACATAGTCAATTTTCTGCCTTTTCTAATGTTGATGGGCAAGAAGAGGATCTAAGATATTTTTTAAAACTATTAAATTATATTGCATATATTTGATATTAAAGGCAAGAATGTGGGTTTTTTGGAATGAAAAGACAGTTTTAATTAACATTAATGTCTAGGTGTTTCGATGCCAACCTGAATCAGATGGCAGAACTATATACAACAGTGAATATGAGATTAGTAGGAATAGAATTCAGAATGAATTATTAAAATATTCTCATAGCATTTGGCCTGGTTTTGTTTTTATTCTCTTCCCTAGGGTAATCTTCTGTGTGAATTATAAGTCTACTGATGAACTTTCCGTCCGTACTCTCTTAAACCATTCACTTATGTTTAATGTCTTCCTTGCTGTTGAATAGTGGAAGAGAAATATGATGGTCTCTTTTTAAGATCAGGATTTTGACTTTTAATTAATATAACCATGATTCAAAGGTAGTGTAATAAATGGAAAAATTTTCTATCCTGACATACCTTTTTTCATTTTCATTTTATATTATCTCTGATAACTTCCATCAAACAACACACAATTGAAGGTAGCTTTATTAGCATATATAGTATCTTAATTCATTTGTGCTACTCAAGGAAAATGCCTGAGACTAGATAATTTATAAAGAACAGAAATGTATTTCCTCACAGTCCTGGAGGCTGGGAAGTTCAAACTCATGGCACCAGCAGATTTGGTGTCTGGTGAGGGTTCTGTTCTCTACTTCCAAGGTGGCACCTTGAACACTGTGTCCTCACATGGCAGAAGAGCAAAGGGGAGAGAGGCAGCTCCCTTGAATCTCTTTTATACAGGCGATAATCCATTCAGGAAGGCTCCACTCTCATGGCTTTATCACCTCCTACAGGCCCCACCTCTTAATACTATCACATTAGCAGTTAAGTTTCAACACATGAATTTTGAAGGATACATTCAGACAGTAGCATATAGTTTAATAATCTGCCTTATGCTCACAGCAAATTTTTTCAAAATGTGTATGTAGACATTATTATTATTATTATTTTGCTACTTAATATTTCATCCACGAGGTAGGCCATAATTTACTGAACTATTTATTCACTTAGTGATTTCTCTTTTTTTCTCCCATTGCACATAATACCTGCAGAGGGCACCTTTCTATATGTTGCTGTTGACATTTCAGTCTTATTTTCCATTAGCCTAAAAGAAAACAAACCAAACAAAAATATCATTCAGGTTGAATTACTGTGTCAAAGAGTTTAAACCTTTGATATATTGTTGTTTAGGTTCCCCAAAGGATTGTCCTCCTGTACAGTACAACCAGTAGGGTAGATGGTTGTGTGCCACTTTCACCTTTACCTTGTCTGCAGAACATATTCGAGTCCATTTATATATCGTGCTTCTTTACTAAATGTACCGTTATATTTCAGTTGTGCATCAATTTATATACTTTTTTGATGAAAAAATAAAAGTGTTTGATATCTTTTGAATTTCCTTTCCTACAAAGAGTCATGCTATTTATATTGTATGGATACCTGCTTTATAGGCAAAGTTATTTTTTGCCAAATTGAACCTTTTTAAGGTATTGAATCAGCACTGTGGCTTTTCAAGTTGTCTTTTGTACCTATGCCAGTTATTTGTTGCAGGCAATCAAAAAGCTTGCTACAGGGATTTCTAAATTTCCCTGTTATTTCTCACTGCAGCATCATTCCATTCAATGCCATGTTTTAATTTGTTTTGGTTCCTTATTCCTACACTGCTTAATAGCCAACTGTTTTTCCTTAACCAATATAAATCAGTACACTGCAAATGTCATGAAACCTAAAACAGACAGAGTCTCACTCTGTCACCCCAGGTAGAGTGCAGTGGGATCATGGTAGCTCACTGCAACCACAAACTCCTGGGCTCAAGCAATCCTCCTGCCTCAGTCTCCCAAGTAGCTGGGACTGTAGGCATGCACCACAACACCTGGCTAATTTTTCTAGTTTTAGTAGAGATAGGGTCTTGCTCTTGCTCAGGCTGGTCTTGAACTCCTGAGCTCAAGCAATCCTCTCACCTCAGCCTCCCAGAGTGCTAGGATTACAGGCGTTGAGCCACCACACCCAGCCCAAAGCCTGAATTTTACTGAGTCCCAAGGCAAAGATGACATTTCCTTCCCATTGCATTAGTTTCTGCCTCCTTAGTCAGTGGGAACAAGTGGGTAGAAATTTTCAGAAGGTACCTGGAAGAATAAAGGATATGTCAAAGA